ATTAAAAAATACTTAAAAATTAAGTTCAAAAACTAAATAGTGATCTAACCCCCTCGGCAATGTGAATAAACGGAGCACTTTAAAGTATTTAAGTAACTTAAAGTGTCAATACTGTTTGTATCTTTAAGAGAGAGAGAGAGGGAGGGAGAGAGAAAAGAAAAATATTGGAGAAAAATGGAGCTACTGCTAGTATTAGTATTACCGCTGACCTAGTAAATATAAATATTTTCCGTAAGATTACTATAATTGCTAGTACATGAATTTTTATTACTAGTCTGATAATTATTTATTAGTCTCGGACTAACAGATATTGAGTACTTATGAACCCTGCGTAATCGATCAACCAACCATTCATTTAGATATAATGGTTTAAATGACAAAATTAACAGGGCATAGTACAAGTTTATATATTGAACACTGCACTGTTCAATAGGTTAACTCCCGTATGAGCAAATGAAACCGGAAATCTTAAACAGGGATATATAATTGTAGTGGACAGTATATAGGGAACTTATACTCCTTCGCTAATGAGCTCGCTTTTCTGGTGATGCGGTAGAGTCTCCCTCTATTCCAGGCAAGTTAAGCAACGGCGAGCGTGTTTAACCCTTGGATGGGGGACCGCTTCACGTTAAATAAATTTTATATGACTTGTACAGATATGTCCGAGAACGTTAGGAAACTGAATTACCTATCAGTAATTATTCAATATTTAGAAGATTTCCTTTTTAACAAGAGACATCTGTACTGTTTTGTGAAAAGAAAATTGATACAACTTTCCGATCGTGAAAACAGGGGGGGGGGGGGGACTCTACATTAAAGTCAGATATTTGTCTGCAAAGAAATGAATACATGTAGATGAAAATTAACTTGATGATTAATTAATTTTAATTCTTTAATTGAACAGGGATAGATATATTCAACACATAAATTTAAACTTGATTTACGCATAGTTAATTTCAATTCATACTGTGAAATCACTAATTTTCGTGGGGGTTTAATTTTCGTTGTTTTCGTGGTATGAAGAGGCCCACGAATTTATGTCCACCACGAAATGTAAAGTTTCATATGCACAACTACTAAAAAGTTCTTCGTCCACGAAATCAAATCCCCACGAACCAACATTTTTTCCTCAAACCACGAAAATTTGACACCACGAAAATATGTGATTTTACAGTATTCTGAATTATTTTGCAGATAAAAATAATATTTAAATCAAAAAAAAAAATAATAACTGTCAGGGATTTTTTTTCATCAAATATTAAAATAAGACTGTTTTTAGATACAAAGTATAACACACAGTCATTTTCACACCACTGCAGCCTCCCCGAGAGCGAGAACAATAGGGACAGTAATTATCAGTAAATGTCAGCACTTGTCTAAGTTTTTCAGCAGGGACAGTAAATGGGTCAGTAATTGTCTAAGTTTTTCAGCACCGACTAAGATTGTCAGCATTTTTCTAAGTTTATCAGCACCGGCAGTAAAAAGGTCAGTAATTGTCTAAGGTTTTCAGTAACGACAGCAGATTGTCAGTAAATGTCTAAGTTTATCAGTAAAAATGGGAATGTCAGTACGCTTCAGACTTAGTAGTGATAACCCTTAATCACATGCATAATGATGATATGGAGGGAAAATATACATAAAAACATGAATATAGTTGAAAGCCTGTCCACTTCTCTGAAGAGAATAGGTTTGCTTAATGGAATTGTTTATTGCTCAAAAGATTTTTTTGTAATGTATAACCTACTGAGATGAAGATCTATAAAAGAAAGGAAAATTAAGCCTTCATAGCGAATTAATATTGATAGTATGTTTCAAAATGCTTATTACAAACTTGGTAATAAAATACAGAACACTTTAAAGCTAATTACGATTCGTAAAAGGAACATGTCTGCAATTTTTGTTCCTGAGTCTAGTTTCTCTGCAGACCGCTTTAAATAGGGCAGCAGTTAGTAACTGTTCAGTGTAATCAGTCTACACCGGTGAAGACGGACGTATGCTATACAGAACTCGGTAACAAGGGTAATAACGAAATACTTCATCTAATAAGATACCAAATAAGTTTACAATTATAGTATTATAAGTCAGTGCAATATACAAAAACACAGATGAACGTAACTGCAATAAAATGTAAAAAAGGTAATGCAAGATAACCAGCACGAAAACGGGTCGCTATTCCACGCGGATACCCGTGACAATAAAGCAGTCAGGTGTAACGAATGCAACGAGTATATCCTAGTAATGATGTATCGTAGATAATGCTATCAAAAATGGCGTATGACTATTTACGAGTTGTGTTCATCTTCGAGTTTAGAAGAAAATAAGTAAATAGTCAAGCACAATTAAACTACTTACATACATGTACATGGTATTGTCTAACTGAACAGACTTAGCTGTCATTAGATCAAAATTGCAAAAAAATTACATGCTTCTTATATCTGTATATAATTATAAGTTTATAACATACGCCACATTCTACATAACTGTGGTGCAGGCAAACAATGAGTCGAGCACAATATCATATTCTGCTGGTGAGCTATTGCATTAGTTTAAATATTTTGAAAAAAGACTTGTATGAAATAGTGAATTAGTGATGGTTGTCCCGAAATAGGAGAAGTAGAATGGTACAAACTAGCTGATGCTCATTTCTTTGAAATTTTTATACGGCTGAATTGATATATTCGGCACGTACCAAATAGTCACGTGGCATGGAACAGGGTGGACGCTTTATCCGTTCCTGTGTTTTTTTTTGACAGTTTTTGCCAAAATCTTTATTTCTTCTTACTTAAAAGCTGTTGGAAGTGGCGTAGGAGAGTTTTTAGTCTGTGTATATATGTTCTTTTCATTCGGATTTGGATATTATATTCGTTTTTTGTGATTTTTTTGTGTGTGTGAATTATCTGATACCTTGGTGAACACTCTTTACCCCTTGATCGCTTGATTTACTTGTATTGCACAGCGAGGTTTAAACTCCGTCATGGGTGATCGGACAGAGGAACGTACGATCAAACCAGATTCAGAGATTCAATGCTCGGATGATGGCAGAATAACGGACTTCGATTTAATGGACTGTATCACGAAAGTGGTTGGAAATTCTTAACATTGTCTACAACTTGACCGGAATTTTTGAAGAGTTTACCTCAGCGATAGTGCCAGTAGAGAAAAGCTTTTAACAGAGGGAATACATATTCAAAACATTTCTATTTCTTTCTTTGACACAAATCCTTACTCGTCAGGTAACCATAGTACCACATTGATTACAAAAGACTGAAAACTTTAGAAGCGGAACTTGACGCTATTTACGACAAAAAATCTAAAGGTGCGCAGATAAGATCTAGAATTAAATGGATAGAGGAGGGGGAGAAAAATTCATTTTTTTTTTAATTTAATTTTTAATCAATCATCAAACGTAATTAAAGAAATAAAAACAAGAGAAGGAAATAAAATCAGAAAAACTAATGTCGTTTTAGGTGAAATGTATTCTTTTTATAGCGAACTATATACGAGTAAAGAAATTTCAAACGAAAAAAATAGAAAAATATTTATCTGAGATAGACGATATCCCTAAATTAAGTGAAGAAGATAAGATATTGTTAGAAAAATTTCCAACATATGAAGAGTGCAAGGAAGCTGTTGATAGCATGAAAAAAGAAAAATCACCTGGACTAGATGGCCTTCCTAGTGAATTTAATCAATGTTTTTTGGAAAAAAAAACCGGACTGGTCAAGATGGACATCAATTGGTCTCATTCTCACGGTGTTTATATGTCGTCTGAACCCAAAAGGGAACTACACACCGGAGCCAATGGAACTAAGTGGACCTCTAAGACACGTGGGGTTTTGTAAATTCAACTACGAAAGTTACCTTCAAGACTACGTCCTAAGTATTGTCCATCCGACCAGAATTCCTTTGTTCCAACCGAAATCCCGCCATGAAAACGCACAGAAGTACTCACTAAGGAAATACATTTTTATTCTTAGAATTTTAATTGCCGGATATATAGATCTTAATCCTGGACCTATAAAATTCCCATGTGTTATTTGCTCTAAACAAACAAGGAAAAATCAAAAACTCATTGTATGCAGTTTGAGTAATGTAAAACGTCATATCAAATGTATTGGGAACGGTCAAACTTAAGATGATCACTCATCATGGGTTTGTCTCCCGTGCACTCAAAGAAATCTGCATCTTTCTCTCAACTACGACGACATCACGTATAGAGATGCGGAAATATCAGATACAGAGGCGTTTGGTGTATTTAGCTGTACAAACAATACTAATAGCAGTTACTGCCCGTGCGATGGATCAACTTCCGGTGTAAATACACATGGCGAGATAAATCATGACATCTTCGAAGAGCTGGCTCAAGTAAGGAAAACGCATCCATATAAATTCATATGCGTATATCTGAACATCAATAGCCTACGTTATAAATTCGGTTCAATCAAAGATCTACTCGATCAAAACATTGTTGACATGTTAGTTATCGCTGAAACTAAGCTAGATGATTCATTCCCAGATGCACAATTTAAAACAGATAATTACCATTTTTAGAGGAAAGACAGAAATAAGTTCGGAGGGGGACTAGTTATGTATGTTAGATCAGATATAGCTGGCGATAGACGGAGTGATCTTGAATTTGAAAACATTGAATCTCTCTGTGCTGAACTCTTAATTGGAAATAGAAAGTGGTTCATAGGAGGTCTATATCGACCACCCTCTATGTCCGACAGCGAATTTACAAATGATTTTTTGAAAAGGTATCAATTAAATTTGACAACTATTTGTTCCTTGGTGATTTAAATTATGATCTGTTATCTGATGATAAAAGTATACCATTAACTAATGTATGTGACATATGTGATTTAGAAAATATGGTTACAGAAGCTTCTTGCTTCACACAAGGTTCAAACCCCTCACTTATTGATGTGATTCTTACAAACAGAAAGAATTTATTACAAAACACCAGAAATTTTAATTATGGCTTAAGCGATGTACACAATATGATAGCTATTCAGATTAAAGGTCATACTGCATCAGTGTCTAATCCTTTTGTAGCATACAGAAGTTTTAGGAATTTCAGTCATGAAAATTTTGTAAATGATCTTGAACAAATTGACTTTGAACTTCTTATTGATCAAGAGCAAGACGTTAACGTAGCATATGAAAAGTTTGAAACAGTTTATATGGAGGTTAATGACAAGCCCATACCATTAAAACAAAGAAAAAAAATTAACAAACCAACACCATTTATGAACAAGGAACTCAGAAAGGCCATCTATTTAAAGAATATGTTTTTTAACAAATACAACAAAATCAGGTCTAATGAAAATTGGGAGCTATATAGAAAGCAAAGAAATCAAGTTAATAAGATCAAAAGAAATTCAGTCAGAAATTATTTTTTAGAAATATGTGTAGGTGGACCTAAAGATAAGGATTTCTGGCCAACTATTAAGCCATTTCTGACAAATAAAGGAAGTCATTTTGAAAATAACGTTATACTTAGTAAGGATGGAGAAATAATAAACAATCAAGCAGAGGTGGCAGAAACTTTTAATGACTATTTGGTAAATGTGGCTAAAGACATAGGGGCAGTGAGCCGTAGCGTAGATCAAGATCATCCAAGTATTAAAGCAATTTCTGAACATGTACATTTAGATAATGAAATGGAATTTAAACCCATACAGACTACCCTTGTTGAACAGCCAATATATAAAATAGGTATTAAAAAAGCAACAGGAAAAGATTGTATCTCTGTCAAAACACTTAAACTGTCAAACCCAACGATAGCAAAACCTATCACCATGCTCATTAATAAGTCATTTGAGCAATGTGAATTTCCGAAAAAACTTAAAGAGGCACAGGTTGTTCCACTTCATAAGAAAAATAGTCAATTAGAAGTAGGTAACTACAGGCCTGTAAGCATTCTACCAGCAATTTCAAAGACTTTTGAGAGGGCAATTTATACACAGCTGTTAAAATTTTTTGACAATATATTCCACCCCTATTTATCAGCATTTAGGCCAGGTTATGGATGTAATACTGTGTTAATGAAAATCATTGAAGGCTGGAAAAAAGCCATTGATAAAAACAAGTATATTGCTGCTGTGTTTATGGATCTCTCAAAGGCATTTGATTGCTTACCGCATGACCTGCTACTGTTGAAAATGAAAATGTATGGCCTCTCAGATTCTGCTTGTACAAAGTTATCTGTCAGATAGGAGACAATGTGTAAAGGTAGGAAATATTTTTAGCACGTTTAAAGATATATATAAGGGTGTACCCCAAGGTTCTATATTAGATCCTGTTCTATTTAACATATTTTAAATGACATTTTTAGTTTTGTCGAGGAAGGAATGTTATATAATTATGCTGATGACAACTCATTGTCACATTCAGACTTTGACTTAAACAAAGTTATTAAAGTTTTAGAAAAAGAAAGCTTAAATTTAATAAACTGGTTCTCAAACAACCACATGAAAGCTAACCCAGAAAAATTTCAGGCACTCTCAATAGGAAACAAAATCTGTAAGGAAAACATCACTTTTAACTTGGAGGGTATTAATGTAAAATGTGAAGAAGAGGTTAAACTTCTTGGTGTTACTATTGATAGCCAATTGAAATTCAATAACCATATTTCAAACATATGCAAAAAAGCAGCTAGACAACTTAATGAATTAAAACGCATAGGTAAACATCTGACTAAACTGGGCAAACTGACCATCTATTATTCTTTTATTATGAGTAATTTTAATTACTCTCCTGTGGTTTGGTACTTTTGCGGAGAATATAATACAAGAAAAGTTGAAAAATCCAAGAAAGAGCTCTCAGATTTATTTATGATGACATGAACAGTACTTATGAGGAATTATTACTGAAGTCAGGCTTACCAACTTTAAAAATTAGAAGATTAAGAACAATGGCTATAGAAGTTTTTAAAATTTTAAAGAACGAGAGTCCCATATTTATCTGATTTATTTACTTTTAAAGAAACCTCATATAATTTTAGGAAAACTAATACAGTACAGGTACCTAGGGTTAGAACGACAAAACATGGATTACACTCTTTTAGATATGCAGGAGCCAAACTATGGAATGAATTGCCTGAAACAATTAGAAATGCAACTACAATTACTCAGTTTAAAAGTTTAATTAACAATTGGAATGGAGATTCCTGTAAGTGTGGCTCCTGCAGGTAGTACAGGTACCTAGGGTTAGAACGACAAAACATGGATTACACTCTTTTAGATATGCAGGAGCCAAACTATGGAATGAATTGCCTGAAACAATTAGAAATGCAACTACAATTACTCAGTTTAAAAGTTTAATTAACAATTGTAATGGAGATTCCTGTAAGTGTGGCTCCTGCAGATCTTAATCCTCAAAACTTAATCTTCAGTTGTTGCTCAATTTCTTTTTTGTTCCTTTTTATTTATTTATTTATTTATTTATTTATTTATTTATTTATTTTGGTATTGTTCTTCTGTTTTAAGTTTATTTTGTTTTGTTTGCTTTAAAAGTGAGTAAATTTAGTAGTCATAAATCTATAGTATTAAAAATATACTTTTAATTAAACAAATTTGCTTTTTTTTATCAAAATATAAAATATTTTTATCAAATATATAATTTATAGACTATATTTTTAGAGCATGAGTGCTACTTGGACACTCATTTATATTTATTTTCTGTGTTGTATTACTTATATGCATGATATATATGTGCTTTCTGTGTCGTTTTGTGTGTATATGTGTAAATATTGCTTGTTGTGATGCATGACAATGTAATTCTAACTGTTGTATATGTGTAGATAGTGTAGTACTAATATAATGTCGGTCAAAAGCTCTACAGAGGTTATGTTTTTGTTTAAAAATCCGACTCGAAATAAAATTTTCGGATTCTGATTCTGATTCTGTCCTTCTTTTATAAAGCACTTAATGATATTTTTGATAAAGGTGAATTGTCTTACACACAGAAACTTTCTATTATATCACTGATCCACAAAAAGGTGAAAAAGATAATTTTAAAAACTATAGACCGATAAGTTTAACAAACACAGATTATAAAATCATTGCCTTTGTTTTTGCAAAAAGATTACAAAATATACTACAGTGTATACAAGTTGATTAACGAAAATCAAACAGCTTACATAAAAGGGAGATATATCGGTGAAAATGCTAGATTAGTACTTGACGTTTTTGAATACTGTGTAAGAGAAAATTCAGATGGTATTTTACTTTTCTTAGACTTTGAAAAAGCCTTTGACTCGGTTGAATGGAATTTTCTTTTCCAAGTTTTACAAAAATTTAATATTGGCAATAGTTTTATAAAGTGGGCAAAAATTTTATATACAAATCCAATTTTTAAAATGAAAAACAACGGCTGGCTTTCTAAAACCAGCGAAATGACGCGAGGAATTAGGCAAGGCTGTCCTATTTCCGCTCTCTTGTAATTATTCGTCGCAGAAATTTTGGCTATTAAAATAAAATGTGATACTGATATAAAGGGCATTACAATTAATAATCATGAAATTAAAAACATCCAACATGCGGACGATTTGACTGTAGCTTTAAAAGACGAAATATCAATGAAGCGAACTCTGGATAAATTACAAGAATTCTGTGAACATACGGGTTCAAAAGTAAACATGCATAAGACAGAATGCATTTTACTAGGGGAACTAAAAAAATTATATGATGAACTCTACGGTATAAAAATTACAAATAAAGCAGTAAGATGTTTGGGAATATTCATAGGGCATGAAGGAAGAATGTTACACTAAAAACTGGATGAAAATTTATCACGATTTTTGAATCTTGGAAAAGAAGAAAACTAACGTTATTTGGTAAATCATGTATAGTTAAGACACTTGCTATATCTAAACTTACATACGTTGCCTCAATACTTAGTCTTCCTGATAATGCTTACATTACTAAAAAAGAAAAATACAACGTCTAATTTATAACTTCATTTGGGATTAAAATGAACGAATTAAAAGAAACACGCTTATACGCAGAATTTCAAAAGGTGGCCTCTCAATCGTTGATATAGAATGTAAATTAAAAGCTTTAAAAGCAGCTTGGGTACCTAGATTGTTAAAAAGCAAAGTTATTTTGTACAACATTTTTTATGGCTATTGTAAAAAATCAAATTCTGATGTTCTCTATGTGTTAGATTTTTCTGATAGAGAAAATAGAAAATATGGAAAAATTAGAGAAACTACCTATATTTTATCAACAATTGTTATGTTGCTTTAATGAATGTAAGCCCTGTTTTTTGAACAAAATATCTTCCGATAATGTTCTTCGACAACCGATATGGAACAATTGTAACTTTGTTTATAGGGGAAATACATTATTTTTTAAAAACTGGATAGCCAGTGGGATTTTGCACGTTAAAGACTTATTTGACGATGATGGTAATTTGAATCATTGTTAGATTTTTCTAATTGTATAAAAAACAAGTCAAACTGGTTGTGTGAATTTAAAATTCTTTCATCTGTTTTCAAACCTTTGCTACTAAAGTGTGATTTTTCAAAATTGTAAGTTTGTTAACATAAGATACAAAAAATATTTTCTTTTCTACACAGGACATGTTAATATCATAGATCAAAGTTGTAACTTTTTTATGACAATCTTGTACACAGAAAATTTTGTAAACCATGTTATCAAATAGTTTTAAGCAACGAATTCAGTGTTGAACCTTCAAAATGGAAACATATATATCAATGTAAATTATATGATATACCCGATAAACAATTTACAGAATTCAACTATAAACTTTTAAACAATTTTCTTTGTAATAACTTTTATCTCAGTAAATGGAAAAAAAAGAAACGAGTAGTCATTGCAAATTATGCCACGTGAATGAAACTTCAAAACATCTCATTTCTGAATGTAAAAATGTTGGTGGAATATGGAATAGATTAAGTTTGTACCTGAAAATAGATATAAAATGTAAGCATGTAATAATGGGATTTAGCTCTGAGCGCAATAGAAAAATTGTATCACTCAACACACTCATCTCATATGTTGCCTGTAGGATTTACAAATATAAGATGTACTGTCGAATAAATTCCTTAGATGAAAACTAGTTATAAAATCTTCAATCACATTAAATCTTCAATTTTTTTCTATGCTTCCATTCTAAAAAAAATTGAAATCACTTGACTACAAACTTTTTAAAAACTTTACATAGAATTGTCTGAAGGTAATATTGTCATATTGTTTGTAATGTAATTTGTCTGTTATATATATTTCACTGTTTGCTGGTATGAAGAATTGAAAATAAATAAAAAAAATATTCGGCACGTATATTTTGTCCTTTCTGTCTGTTGTCAACTTGAACCATTGCCATGACTTTTGAACGGTGAGAGATAGTGATTTCATATTTGGTATGTGTACTACGATAATTAAGTTCTTTGAAATGCAACAAGGTCAATGACAGTAAAACTTTGTCATCTCGAACCTGAATTGAAGAGGAAAAAACTTTGAGATCTCTCAAAAAATTTGAATGAAAAAAAAGGAAATGTTATTAACTGATTTCTTGCTGGTCAGTATTTTGATGACTTTAAGGAAGCTCTAAAAACTGCACACTAAAGAGCTCTACTTTAATATTGGGTAGTTTTATGCAGTTAGAGTGATCTGCCCTTAGATTGTGATTAAGAAAAATTTTATTTTACAGTCAGTTGGATTATTTGTAATAGATTAAATTATTTTTAGCATTATCTAAAATCAAAAACAAATAAATAAATTGATTTTTTCATAAATTTTTCAAATGTATTAAGTAACCAGCAATGATTTCTGCTCACAAATATTCCATTGTCTTTGAAAATTTCTTGGGGAAATGATGCACATACGATATGTTCTAAATGAATAAAAAAAGGCTCATTATGCACATCTTTATATTATAGATTTTTTTCTCTCCAAAGATTAATTTCTGTAAGTCTAACACTAAGTTTTTAGAGTGTCCTCAATTTTTTAGATACATGTATTCAATGAAATCATTTGAACTTTTTGAAGTATTAAATTTTGGTAAATTCTACGATAGTAAAATGTTATATGGTTGAAAATACTTTAAAAAACAAAAACAGCATGCATGCATGACAATAGGGCATAAATTTTTAATGTCTAAAAATTTTTCTGTGACATTAAAACAGGAATTTTCATCACCAAAAGACATATATCACATTGCTGAGAGTTGTCTCCAATTGTCGGTGTATCGC